ATAGTCTAGATGTTTTTAAGAGTTCTATGATAGTATATAAATGCCACTAAAGGTGGTGTGGAGTTAGTACCTTCTGCAGAGACCTAACCGACTGTCGAAAGGCATCACGCTCGAGCTTTTATAAAACTTGGAACTGTGCGTGACGGTAAGAAAAACAAAAAAAAGCTGGAATTGTATTTGACGGTGAAATTGGACTTGTTAAGGCATATTGTTTTTAGAAATTCTTAATTTGGATTAGGTCAGTTAATTTTTCGTAAATTTTACCGCAACTCCCAATGTTCTATTTGTCAGTACAAGTCCAATTTTCTGTGAATTCTGTCGGAAAAATTTGTATCCGTCTTTATGGGGAAATCTCGGGAGAAAAATAACTCACTTATTGTCAAAAGTTGCGACGAATCTTTAAACAAACAACGAAAATGCCGAGAACAATTCAGTAGATGTCTAAGAGAAGATAATAAAGCTCTTAATTAGATCATTCGAAGCACACTAGTCTGCTGACGGTTCTGATAGTTTAAATACTTTATCTGTGCCTTTTCCGTTTAAGAACATCTGAAAATGTCGATTGCTTTTTCATTCAGAGCGCGCTATTTTGTCGGAAAAAAAAATCAGTCATGCACCCACTCCCCATCCAAATATACGGACTTTGCTAGCCCGTGCTTAGAGTTTGTTTGTTGAATTTTGCGCAAAGCTATTCGAGTGTTATCTGCGCTATCCGTCCTTAATTTTGAAGTGATGGTTTAGAGGGAAGGCTGCTAGTTAACATCATCCACACTTGGGCTACTCTTTACCAAAGAATAGTGGAACTGCTCGCCATATTATAACGCCTATGTGTTTGAAAGAACTAGCATTTTTGATAGCGGGATTCAAACCCGCGAACCACAGATGATGTTAGAACAGTCCTTACAGAAAAATTGAAATAACTTTTTAGTGGTGGAAAACAATAGTGATTACCCAAGGGACAAATCACAGCACTGGTGAGACAATTGTCCCACATATAGGCACAGTATCTAAGAGGCCTATGTCTAAAATACTTTTATAATTTAATAAATATACTTAAATGTTTTCTGCTCTGGTGAGTGTAAAGATCCGTTTTACAGCTTGTTTTATAACCTTTTATTCAAATCAGCTTAAGAAAATAAAGCAACTATAATATTGTTTTTATTGGTCATGTAGGTTTAATAAATAGACATCTTTTTGCCTGTAATTCTGATTAAATCAGTATCTCCCTTTACAAAAAAAAAGTAATAACAAAATTCATTGTATATAGGCATCATAAATAACTTTGTCAAATGTTGCAACTTTCTTGAACGAAGCATGATTTTTTTTTTCACAAGGTAATACAGGAAGTGCCTGAATGTGTAACAAAGCAAGGAAACAATGCAACTCCCTCCTCCATTACTTTAACATGGTTATTTATCAAAGGATAAAACAGTACAGGAAGTATCCGGATGGGAAACAAATCTAGGAAATTAAGCAACTCCCTCGTCCATTACTTTAACATAGTAATTTATCAAAGGATAAAATAATACAGGAAGTACCCGGATGGGAAACAAACCTAGGAAATTAAGGAGCTCTCCCCTCCATTACTTTAACATGGTTATTTATCAAAAGTTATTACAAACTCCTATGAAAGGTTATCAATAATATCAATTCTTTTGCTATAAATCCTACTTACTTACCAATCACTGATATTGTCAATATCATGGAAGAAGCAGTTCATGGGCAGCCTTTTCATAACTAAACCCTAGTATTTAGATTAGGGTAAGAAACTACAAATAACCGAAGAAAATTAGGCAGAACAAGACAGCACAAAAAAAGAATACGTTAAAAACTTTCACGAAACCACTTGTTGTCTTAACTTTTAGCAAATCCAGATTTTGATGTCGTTATAAACGTGAATAAAAACCCTGGACAAACTAAAGTCAAATGCTATTAACAAGATAAAAATATGGTCAAACAAGTGTTCAAAGAAAAGCAAAAAAATGAAGACATGAATAAAAAATTATTCAAGTATCTAAATTTGAGTCGAAAAACTCAGCGCAGTTCTATAAATTTTTGGTCTCCAAAAAACAAAGTTGCCATTTCTTCGAAATATTGATTCACTTACATCGACTACCGAGACATCGAACACACATTTCGCCTCCTTTATAAAAAAAAAAACATTGTTCTTCATCAAGGAAGATTATCATCACCTGTATCTGAGATGAACCGATTTCTGGGAATTTTGCTTCTTATCAGTAACTAT